TAGTGATTAAAAGAGAAATTCTTACCAGTCGCAAAGTCTTGTCCACGAAGTCTTGTACTCGTAATCAGTTCTTGTTTTGCAAAAAGATGCTTTCCAAAATACGGACTTTTCTCGCTTAAAATGTCAGCTTAAGCGAAAAAAAGAGTTGACACACCTTCTTTGTAACGATTTTCCAGGTTTCAGCCGACGAGGGAATGTGTAAATAAAATAAACTTGTCGAGTTTTGAACTTGAAAACTTTTTCAAATTCGTGCTTGCGTGATTAGCGCGCGAAAAGCAAAACACCTTGACGTCACAACCATGTTTACATACTCTCATACAAACACTCCTCTCAGCCAATCAGAGCGCGCGTACTATCTTAGTTATTTTATAAAATCCAGTAGTCATGGGGTTCCAAATGTAAATTTGTTCGATTTTGTTTCTCCTGGTCGATTACGATTAAGTTTTGTGTTCTTCTGTGAAGAAGCTCCAGCAGAACTCAAATGCTTCTTCTAAAGAAGACTATATTACACAAATATGACTGTTTTGTAATACATGTAGATTCTTTGCGTTTACATTTGACCTTTGTGACCGTTTGTCTTTTGTCTGTCGTTCGTAAAAAATACCTAAAAAGATATAACTATTACGTCGACCAATCAGAGCTCTTGACCAGATTCCGGACAGATTTTACGTCACCAGGATGGAATTTCTCTCGAAGAGGCGCAGGCGTCTCTCCTGGCAAAACATCCTTAGCGGCCAGGAGCGAGAAGAAACGGCTGTGTTCCCAGGGTATCAAAAACTTCATTTGAAGGAGATTGAGATAAAGGGAACTGCCTGGAAAAATGTTCTTGAACTAACGCAAATGTAGGAAGGTTTGCACTTGTCTACTATGCGCGGAAAGGAGAGCTTTATGAAAAGAGCTCTCACGTTGCTATTTACTACTTGTTCAACTGCAAGTTGTAATTTGATTTTATAAACGAGGACGAATTCAAGCAATGGCCCTGCTATATAATTATGAATCTCTGTTGAATTAAGAAAATCATCTTAGTTAAAGAGCTTGGTATGTTGCAAATTTTCACAACCTGGGGAAATTATAAGTTTCACGATCAAACTGAAACGCCCCACTATTGTGGTTGCCTTTGATAGATTATGTGTTTCGAAATTTAAACTTAAAGAATAAACAGCCATAATTTTCAAGCTGAAAATTTTTTATCTGGTCTATTTTCATCAATTAATAAGGTCCCATCGTCTTTTTCTGAAATTAAGCGCCGGATTAGCTACCAGTAACTCTCCATTCAGTGAACGTAAAGGCCAAAGCTCCGTCTCTATGGAAACACTTAGACAAACATTCATTAGGGAGGATCGGCCAGGGGGTAGTGAAATACCAAAACACTCGAAATAAGTAAAATAAATAAATACACCAAAAATTATACTAAAAATCGTGTAAAACGAATTTAAGAAAACCACCACCACAACCCAAATTAGTCGTGAGTGAATACTGTATACCCAATTTTGAGCATAAAAATACAGTATTCCTGAAATTAAATACCACAATATACTGTACACCCAAAAACCCTGGTCGATCCTGAAAAGGAGAGAGATTAAAAGGAAAACCCGCAATATTTTTGCGAGAGACCAGTCGCACTATACTTTTAATATAAGATAAGAATTGAGAGATCAAGAGTCAGGTTTACGCCAAAACAGCAAACGTGAATTTTTTCCACGTAACCAAGAAGTTTTTCCCTTTATTGTCGTTTACTGTTTATTACCTCTACTTAAAAATAAGTAGTTTGACGCCAGTGTTATCCTCAAGAATTGTTCTGGACAGTTTGTATTTGCTTATTTTCTATCCTGAGAAATTCTCAACTTGACATATCTGATGTTTGCCGTTAGTCGTAAACGTAGCTCGTAATCTCTCTAATTTCAGAATTGGAGTAACCTAAGCTAACCTACCATGTTGGGATGCCTGTGAGAAAAGGAACTTTCGTCAGCTTTGACCCATTTCTGGAGACCTGGAGGAATCTCTTTGCTAAATGGTTCTGCTATGTTAAATTCCTGCGAGATGGTGGAATACATTCCAGGTAAGGCATTGCACCTCCTGTGGAATGGACAATGGCGGGCGATATCTTGATCCCCTAATGGTCC